ATCAGTGGCCAGAGGCTGATATGAAATAACAAAGATAAAACTAAATATTTTATGCATCCAATAAACTATTATCGGATTGATGACTCTGATATTTGTTTCTCGTACCTCTGTCTGAATCTACTCGTTTTGTTATTCGCTATGTTTATTACTCGTTTTCGTACTACATTGTTTTCGGTAGTGAAACTTTTACGCACTCAACAATTGTGTTACCTGCGTAATGGCCTAACTAAAAACTTTCCCTAATAGATGAAGCGCCGGCACCACAAATCAAGGATTTATCTGGTACTCCATAAACCCTATCATGCCCCTAGGATCCTGGTTGATAGCGATCACGTAACAGTTCAAACGAATTTCACATGATCCACGTTGTTCGACATTAGCAGAGGAGCCGCAAAGATAGCCCACAATGCCATCTGGGTTCGCGATTAATCGAGATTCAGGCTATAGTTACCAATGGCTAACAAACAATAATTAATGTCACAGTTTCATATTTTTCGTGTTTACGTCTTAAGCGTATTTGGGCTGGGATGGCTGGCCTTTGATACTAAACAAAGTATGTACACTTGGATTCGAATCTAGACTGCCGCGTGTCCGTAAGCTTAGCAGGCAAAAACTGCGTTCCTATGGAAACTAAAAGAAAAATCATAAATTGAGAGAACGAAATTTCTGTTCGAATAGAATTTTATTGCGATAAAGGTTATATTTGAGGTATGAAACACGTACCGCCTTCATTAATCATCAGCCCTTTGTCCGAGTTAGGATGCGCATAGGTATTTCAAGTGTCTTTGTGGGTTCGGCAATAATTAATCAATATAAGGCTGTTCGCCTCACATGCTTGTGAAGCGCTTTTATTTATGTTAATATGTTTTGTTGTTGACATTGTACTTGTATCGAAATAGGCAGCTGAATCGAAACCTTGAAGGCCCTAAAAAGCTGCTCCTGTTTTATGGGTGAAAATCAAACATCCCATACCATATCAAGATCGTTGACGACTCCAGGTTTAGAGACAGAAACAAGAATGTCCTGGTTTTTATTGTAGAAATCGATAGTACTCTTTACTGAGGTCCATGAATCGTCAATATCGTTGAAGTTTCGCCCGATGTTGCAGTACTTCTGAATCTTGACGTAGTCCGGACGTAAGGAACACATATACAACTATATACGTCGTGTGTTACCAATGCACACTGCTCTGCCTGACATAATGTAACTATCTGGCAGCTATGACCGCGTTAATGCTGATTCCAGCCGGTATTTAGGCCACCTCAACTTTGACTGCGATGGTCCTCGCTTGCGATAACCGCTAACAAGCAAGTACAGTCTCCAAATGATGGCCAGATAGGTGTTTTGCTAATAAGTTTAAAAGTGTCTTAATCCGGTAAAACCTGTTTTTTTATTTTTTTTTATAGAACGTTTGTATATAACTCGTGAATTGTACCAAGAGGCTATGGATAAAGTGGATATGATCGCTTGTCCAAGAATAATGTTCTAGTAGTCCTTATAATTATTGCGATGATTATTACATCAGCTTATAAATAACTTAAATCTATGTGTGTTTTTAATGTTGGGCACACACATTCTGCTCGATCTGGTAGGCGGGCCAGCTGCATGAATTAAGGATGGGTCTGCCCATCTTGTTCAAGGATCCAGTCATCAAAGGATATAAGAGATGTGTGAATAATGAACAAATGTATAGGATGAATGTACGTGATAATAGTTTAGTGGTTCAGAAACGAGGTGTTACAATGTTAACTGCACTCGGCATCGGGGCATTCATAGAATAGGTGTAGGTATGCGTAAATTTAAAATCTCGTTTTCAATTCCAGAAGTGTATTTAAACCCGTATGTAACTCAGTAACTCGTTAAGGGTAAATTACATGGATATCGGCGAATGAATGACAAAGGATAGAAGTACGCACCATCAATCATGCGATTCGGTTCCAGATGGCATCCGTCTAGTTTGAGCCTGTCGGTCTGTCAGTGAACGAAGGTCTGTGCATCGAGATCAAAAGAGCCCTCGCTACCAGGATAGCCAGCGCAGGTTTTCGTGCCAGCGTCGCCGTAGATACCAAGCTTCAGGCCTCTGTTGTGCATATGTTTATTTATAGTTGGTTTTAGACCACGCATCTTACGTTGAATAGAGGCCCCCTAGAAGTAAATTTGAATTCAATAATTTATCTCGGTCTACCTAACTGAACCTTTGGTTCTCATAAAAGCTTCAGCTAAATGTGAATTGAAACTAGATAGTGAAGGTCCTAACCACTGTATAAAAGTGTTAATGAGAGCTCAACTTAACTTGACGAGAATCGAAGAAACCAATCCATCTAAAGTAGCCTGACGCCGACTAGATAATTTTATGATGTGAACTTGAGCAAAAATGACGAACAAAATTATTGAAATCTAGCGGTCTTGGCAGCCTTATCCGCCTATGGTCCGTAGTTGCGCTTATGTAAATAATAGGAAATAATTGATAGAATCAATCAACCCCACGAATTGGTACGCACATATTTAGCGATAGCGGGGATTCCTGATGGGAACCTCTGTGGATCAGCAACAAGATGGCGGGCCGCATTATCACCGTCATGCAGTGCCTAGCAGTCGTCGATGTTTACATAAATGTAACCTACATCCCGGTAGCCATTTTGCACAAGGCGATTTGCCATTCGTTTATACAGACCCTCCTTGTTTCACATAGCACATTTTAGATCGCACAATATATATATATATATATATATATATCATTCCAATAGTTCTCCAACCCAAAAACCCCTTCTACAGCTATACTGTATATATAAACTTCCATTCTTTTGTGCTAATCAGTTATCATATACCTGAGAGTGTAGTATATAATAACAATATATACTATACAAATCGGTACAAAACGTACCTAGTTTTAAAGCTGAGTTAGTTGAACTTGCAAGTGAAATAAACATTGGTAGCTTGAAGTGAATTGATACTATTACCCGAATTTATTTGAAGACTTGCTTCCATTGTGTTCTAAAAATAGTAATTTGTCTAATACAAAACCGGTGTTAAACAAAAAAAAAGGCTCAACGTTTCAAAAACGGCGTCAAAAACGCAACACGTTTAAGAGTGTCGAGAACACAGGCCTACGTCAGCGTCCATTCCGATGCTAATTGGAAAAATGTTCATTTTTGTATAAGTCCCTCCAAATTCTAAGACAACATATATGTACATACATGTTTAAAAGTCGAATGAAACAAACGTAGATAATGGATGTTTTCTCTTTAATCTGTTAGTATTTTTAGAATTTTTTAAGGTAGTACAACGGGATAGTTTTGCGCATCGGGTTGTTTTGTGCAGTCGATACTGCAGCGGTGCAGCCGACCCATTAAGGCCCAATCCATTGTCTAAGGCCAGAGTCGCAACGGCGCAAAAATCAATAATTGAAACAGTTTGATTTACATCAGGAAAATAGAGACTTTCATTTGAAGAAGACATCCACGCAGACGCCGACGAAGAAAGGAACCACGTCCATAAAGCTAGAAGCTCAACCTCAATGCGATCCGACTGCCAATGGTGAGGGACCTACATATCAGTAACATTTCCAATGGGTGTATTATTAACGCGTAATTATCATGTAGCTAACTGACAGATCAAGTGAACTTCAGATGAACCGATAACTTCGACCGTTTACAGACTGCGATATTCGATATCCCTTGTCCTATAATTCTATCTAGCCAGTTAATAGCGCCAATGACATTTCTAGAAATTAAGAGTCTTTTTAAATGGGTAAGTTTTTTTTGCCTATTTCATTGTGCGAACTTGACACAGTTAGTAAATGTTCCTTTTGCTTGCCTCAAACGCTATTTCATTCATCATAGTTCGTAGCATATAGCCTCGTCCAACAGCTCCTTTAAGCATGTTGCTACTTGTTTCTTACCACTGCGTCATCGTTGTTTTGACACTTTCCCATGAATCACCCGTAGACAGACGTTGAAATAATATGTAAATGTGTAAAACTGGAACTAGAACACGTTTAGCGTTTAGGAAACTATTCATTATACAAATAGCTATTCTGTCAACGCTGTGCATGACATTACCGTTGAAATTATAGAAAGATTCCTAAGATTCCTTTAAGTTAACAATCTGCCGGTCTATAAAGCGTCAGCCCGACCACTTTCCAATCGATAGTACGATGCATTTTGCTTGCTTTGATCATTTTTGTCTATCTGTCCAATCCAAATATGGACGAGGACATCGTCAGTACTGATGAAAAGCTGATACATAGAAAAAGGGGTAGAGCACAGTAGTGATACGTTGAACCCAAACCGAATCGAATCAAAGTTGACTTGTACTTAAAAACTGAAAATTTTACCAATTCCTTTTATTGTAGTAAACAAACACACAAGTGATCGATGCGATAAAAGTTGTTGCCCAGTGATGGCAACTCAGTGATGGGAGAAGTCTTCATGATCTATAACTTTCTTACAAAAAGCTTCATATGGTCCTAGCTATTCACTTCTCTCTAAAATGCACATCGCCTAAACCCGAAATGATATGCCACAGAGCATAGATAAACAAATAGCAAGAGGACGAATCAGCGACAACCGTAGACCCCGTAAGAGACAGTCGATCGGGTTCACATCACAGTCTGTTAAACTCTTTCCTATATAGACAAATATGCACAGACTAACAGTGTTTCTTTAAAAATGGCCAGTAATTCTATCGTCGAACGCTCGACCTAAACAGGTCAACCATGCGCAGTCTGTCAGCGTGACACATGTGCACTGCATGGCTACATTGAAAGCTCTTAACTACATTGAAGGAAGATCTATTTTAAGATTTATTTAGACATTTTATCTTATATATATATATATAAGATAAAATGAAATCTCATGAATACTAGATGTCAATAGAAAGAATGTCTGTCGAGTGAAATCAATATCAATCCAACTTCCTATTGAAAAGATTCGCTGTGTAATCACTTGAAAGTTCTGAAAATGCAATAGTGCCAAAAGGCTGAATTGGCTTCTTTACAGATTTCGGGTCGGCGTTGTCAAAATTTTGACTGATACATCGGCCCTACTCCCGAGCCTTTGTTAGGGTAGGTCGGCCATGTCCGGCCTCTCGTAAACATATATGGATGGAGTTCCTCGGTTTCTGGCCAAGGTCGATCCAGCCGAATCCATTGAATCGACCTCTCTACTGAACAGACAGAACGACATTGTTAGCCATAAATATATGACAAAGGAGTTTTTGGAACGAAGAAGCGAAAAACGCTTGTGTCAATATAAGCGCACAAACGCGGGTCATGTCGACATGGCGCACAGATGGTGTGTCACACAGGACAAGACACGATACAAGCAGCTCCTGTCCGCTACATTTCGCATGTAAGTTGCATCCAAAACAGATTAAGGCAGAATTTGACAGCTTTACGGGCAGGCACTTGGTTCGTTGTTGCGTCGAACGTGGGCGACGTAATCGGCAAAATCGTCACCGCTTTCTTCGATCAATTCGATAAGTTGTTGCTCCAGAGGCTTTGTTTCGGCAAGCACCACCTGTAAAAACACATACTTGCACTCTTTATTCACAGAGAATCAGGCCTCTTCGCAGGAGTTTCATGAAAAGGTGCATGCTCTCACGAATGGTTGAAGGCACATTAAAGATTCCTGAATAGACAATATACCTACAGTTTCGAAAAGTCCCTATAGTTATTTGTTACTTTTGCAATATGCCCTCGCATTATGAAAAATCAAGCATTGGCTTAAAGCTTTTTAAACACATTTTTAAAATCAACTAACCATATTTGTACTGGGCATTTCAACTTGGAATAGGGTTTGTCAGCGTTGGCTTTAGGATTTGATCTAGACATAGCCAGAAGCTACCTGGAATTTATGGGACCAATACATGCTCCAAATCAAATACTGATTCACAATATACGTGATATTTCATCACTGTTTTAGCGGTCCAGATTTATGTAACTATTTTTCAATTATTTTAAATTAAATTAGCTAATATAACTCGTGTTTCCTAAGGTATTATCTAAAAGTGGATTTCGGCACGGCAAGCCTTAAATCGAGCATGGCAAATTGATCATATTGTCCTTATTATATTATCTTATTATATATCTTACTATTAAAAAGGAACGTACTTATATCTTAACAAGTGATTGGAAAATCCATTTACCTTAATAGCGCAGCGATCACCGACTTTTTTTCTCACGAAGCAAGCGATATGATTGATAGCAGGACACAATTTGGGTACCAGTACAACGATAGTAAGTCGTTTGTATGAGCTGGTCTCTGCCACATGGACTAAACGCTCGCAAAGGCCAATAAAAGCCTTTTTGACCGCTACGCGACATCTGGCTCTACCAAGCTCTAGACTCGGTTCGATGATTAAAGCCCACTGAGCTGAACATAAATCCACATCATGCAAGGAACGTCCAGGGCATGATGTCAGCATCACCGGAAGGCCGTTATGGTCGGATACAGTTTCCATCCTAACAAGATATCAGTGAAATCTGTTAAAACGACCCTAACGATCGGCAATGGAGAACTAAATGCAAAAATATTCTATATTGTTCTTTTCGAACACTCCCATCCCACGGGCTTTTCAGGAAGGAATATATAACTTCCAGCGGCCAAAAAAGCATACATAAATGATGCTTGAATATATCAAGCAGCAAAAACCAAGATTTTACCAAACGATTTTGAATTCTGTTGTGTTGTTATCATCATAGTAGGTAAAATGCAGTCCCTAATCCAGTAAGGAATTTACACGCACAATACAGATTCAGTTTACTATCGTTTATAGTGAGTGACCCAGCTACGAAGTTACTTTTACCGCCACTCGAGTTAATTTACCTTGCAATCAGTGTTTCTAGATGCTCATTCACAAACGCATTGCGACAAACTGACGGCAGGTACTTCGACGGAAGGTCAGGCTCAATACGAAACGATCCACAGGTGATTTCCGTCCACTGTTCAACTCCGGGAGGCAGAAGTACCCCATCATAGGCGCGTTGCTTATGCCCAGCCGGAGGTCTTATAGAAGGTACCAAAAGTACACCATTCTCGTTGAGGGTGTGCCATGAAGGAGGTTCACTAAAAAATTTGCATACAACTCCACGAGCACGTAACTCTTCAGAGAGATGGAAACGTTCGATGACACTCGAAGAAGGAAATACGACAATCATATCGCGACCTCGCACATATTCAGCTAATTGTTCAAGGAACGAGTACGGAAGGTTTGCAGGTAGAAACGCCCACGAAGGACGCCTAGATGGTAACTCGTCGAGTGGCGTCGGCGATGCTAAAAGTAGTGCCTGAGTACATGCACCCGCACAGAGCAATTGAAGCAGTCGTTTTCGTTCTGTACTTTCCGGGGTGGCATCTAAACGAAGTCGTACTGATTGCGTCGGGAAAGGCCGAAGTCCCTCAGGACACGGGGGTACGTCGCTTAGCCTCTGTGCTGCTGCCATATAGAGATAACGGAATCGTCCCAAGAGTTTACGCTCTGCTTCGCTTAATCGAATGTTGATAACGAAATTGTTCTCTAGTGGAGACCTGCGCAACTCTGGTGAGTCAGGTGAAGGTACAAGCACTGGAGACTCAGTCGTACTTGGCTCGCTTGCACCCTTATGTTCAGAAAGTACCCTGTGGTCTAGTGACGCTTTCCCATCTTCAATGTAAACGGCATCGGTCAATTTTTTCTGATGAAAATACAAAATTAGTTAGTTCATCGGCTTATAATTATAAATTAGTTAGATTATAACGAGTCAGGGAATGAGTTATTATATATATATATATATATACACAATGTATAAGTGACACGATGCCCGGAAATTGTAGACACAGTTTCTTTAACGCCAGAAAAATATTACCTTAAGTTCATGACGCCGAAGTTTTCCATCTCATACAATTTGACACCTACTAGAATCTTGCAGTATCACTTCCTTTTCGTCATGCTCAGAAACTTTTATTATATGGCTAGTTATAATGTGCTGACTATAAACAGCAGACGATCGAGTCTGTGTGTTTGAAGGATCATACGTTAATCAGCGATTTCAGAAGCGGCTTCGTAAAGAATTGACACAGAGCTTAAACAAAGGTAAATGAATCACCAGCTATTCACATAATAGCGATAATATTGCAAATAAGTGAACAGCTAAATATGTGATAGTTTAAAGTGTATTTGTAAATAATGGCGCTAAAAAATCCAAAAAACATGGTACCTATGAATATATCAGAATCCATTCTGATGACACTACCAGAACCTGTTAATCATGTGTCAACGTGGCAAACGAATACTAACTAGTAGCCCATTTATCTTCAAGTTCACATTAACTGAAAACCTACTTTTTCACAAGCTTAACCTATTTTTCCTTAGCCTTGGACTCAGCTGCACTCTTGCAAAAACACCACAATGTTATTTTCTCCTTGTACTTTCTCGGTATGTATCCCGTATTTCTAATACACAGACATCGTTCGCTATACGATAACACCAAAATAATGTTAAAAAAAGTATTTACTTCATTTGCTGTGAGATGTCTAGATGCGGCACTAGGTTGCAGGAAGCGCACAGGGTTTCGCCTGCGGTTGATCTTACGTCGCTTAGCTTCTGGAGCTGTTGCACAGGTACGCTCCTTATCAGGCCTTCGTAAGGTAGGTCCAACTGGGAGTACTATTCTTGGCTTGTAGTTAACAAAATTTGCATCTAACTCCAGCCTCTTTACTGAAGACTGTGTTATAAAGGAAGGATGTTCTCGCTTGATAGATTCTGAAATCTGCTGCTGCTGCTGTTGTTTGTCAGATTCCTCGAAGTAGCGTGCCGCCAATCGAGTATACGCTACATGAAGTTCTTCAGGTCGTAAAGATGAGTTGCCGCCTGTCGATAGATGCGGCACCATCAGTGATTCACTTAAATTTAATCGACCACTGAACATAGAAAACTGATCGGAAGCCGACTGAGCTTGCTGGTGCCAGCCTGATGACTGCATTACGGGTGGGGCCGTTTTCAGTGAACTATTCGAATGAAAAGACTCTTGACTAACTTGATTCGTGGATGGTAACAGCGGTCGCGTTATTGGATAATGGGTTGCGACTTTCTCTGTTGACACTTTTCCTGGTTTTTCAAAAGGCGCTGCGAACGCCGATTGAGTCTTGGTAACAACGGCCAAGGGTTGCAAGGAATATTTCGCGTCACGGTTCAGTGCAGGGACCACCTGATCGGTAGATGTGTCTGTTTCAATAACACAAAAATGGTTATAGAATAGGGCTTCTATTTTCAACTCACTCGCCGTTACTTCGTGTTCACGCTTAATATGGTCAAGCTGTACGATGGTGGCCCACGAATTTTACTGATTCTCACTAATACATAGTCTTATTTCAGCTTATACATTTCTGCTTTCAGCCCTATGTAGGATACTCTTTAATTCTAGTGGGTTGGTTACTAGCTATCGCACATAGATATACTTGCATCTATGTGTGACATATTGGAAGCCACACCTGAAAACGATCGTGACCTAGCAACTGAAGCAGGAACCGAGTACGTATCTATGAATTTTCCTGCTTATGGTTAAATTCATAGGCTCGCCGCGCCGACCTCCGTCAATTCATCATACGATAGCAGAAAAAGCAACGGACTACAGTACGATTTGCTAATGCACTACTCACCAGTACGGGGAGACATAATTGGGCTGTCTAGCTCTTCAGCGATAGTCTTCTCCTCATACCAAGGATCTTGTTCAAGGATATCCTTTGGTTGGGTTTGGCGTTGTGGCAATCTGCTTGCCTCGTTGGCTAAAAAACCCACCATTATCATCAGTTCTGTAATGGTCAATACCTATGAACTATGGGCGACACAGAAATGTAAGCTACCAAACTAATCGTACTAGAGTATTATATAAAAGCCATTTAAACCTTTGTTCCTCCTTTTGTTTACGATGTGCAAGCTACATAACGGTTTTTTATTCACCTACTTAAAGTGTGGATAAATGCTTTCTGCGGAAGAAAATTATCAAGCTCAAATAAACAGGTACGTTCCCTTGTTACTATGATAAAGACGAAATTTTTTAAAACAATTTAATAAATGATGTTCGAAGCAGTCCCAACCAGTATTCGCAGGTCGCTTTATTGAAAGTTTGTAATGTGATAAAGCATCGTACGTCGAGATAAATAACAGTTCGACGAGTGTCAAAGTTGATCGTCTACAATTTTGTGAAACGTTACCTGACGGATACAGCGTAATATACCTTCAAAAGGATACTAAAATGATGCCAAAAGTTCAATCTTTTTTACAACAATTTTTTTTGTTTACCTACAATTATAAACATCCATAAAATATACATTATTATATTTTAACTCACTGTAATTTTATAAAAAAATTAAGAAAAAGCTAACCGTTATTAACTCTGTCCGAATACGCCAGGCAGTCGATCGATACGGAACGTTACATGATTGTCCTATCAGGAGGAATTAATACATTAGATTATTTCAAGTTAGAATTTTATAAGGAGCCTATAAATTCAATCGTAGCTCGAGCGACAAAAAATCGTTTTGAAATGGAAATGCTCGCCATTTTTTACGTTTCTGTGCGACTTGATACCGTGAACTAGCTTGTCAATGGAAAACATTAAAGCTCAGATGACATGGAGCGTGCAATATATGACCTGTTGTGACACACACACACACACACACACACACCGATTTTTCATACAGACGATTCCTTTTAGCTGAAATCACACAACTTATTTATTATATATGACCAGCCATATGTAGCGACTAGCCAAACATCATGATCAGAATTCAATCAATTTTTCGTAAAAAGAAAAATGGCCTTACATTACAAAAATCGCGGTAGCAAATAATTACAAACACCAAAATCTAGCTGGTCTAAGTCATTAACATGACCGTGATTTATGTCGCATTAAATCCAACTGCTATACTTCGTGGTAAAGCTTTTACCTACAATTATATTTGACAATGTTCTTCTGGTAAAGGATGATTGTAGCATTGTTGACGTTGATACCAGTATGTGTCTTTGTTTTAACAATAGAGATCATGTTTTCACATACCTGAATCTTGATACTGTATTTGACTCAGGTTGACATAGCTTTCTAATCGAAAAGCTGCGGTGCTACTGAGTAGCAATAGCGATGTTGCAACTCTTGTAATGCAATAAAGTAATAACTGTTAGGCTTCTGTGCAGGCGCGCGGTGTCAACTTCAGTTGCAACTATGTGCTTTCCTCGTTGTCGGCCCTTCAAAGCGAGTGTCGAGCACTCGTCGTCGATTAAAGTTACAGTATATCCCATTGTATCCAGCAATACTTGATGTTGTCTTCAGCAGCCCTCGGTAACCCGCACCGGAGTTTGAGCCTAACGCAAAGAAAACTGATACGGCCTCAGCTTTCTTTGTGTTATTCTTCCTCGCCGCAGCTAAGGACTGGCAGAGTCCAATACGTTTCGTCTCGGTGAAGAAGCTAATTAGAGGATATAAACGAATTCACGTACGTAATGTATGTAACCTTGGGCATCGTATCCTCTCGTAGCATTCCATTCTTCGTGGTTTTGAGCGTTTTTTTGAACATTTAGAATATTTCGGGGCACCCCGTAGATTGAGCTTGTCCAAAATAACGGCTGTATAGGTCCCGGCGGTATAGTTATAGGGAGATGTCGAAAGGTGTTGGGGAGGTACCTCATCTTCCTTGCATCCATCGTTGCGATGGCAGCGCTAGACCAACAAACAAAAAAAACAGGAAACAGAAAGCGTATTCGCTACCTTTTAGTTACGCGTTAAAAAATGATTTTTTGAAATTTTTTTCCAATAAAAAAATTGTTTTTTTGCCAGTTTTTTTTTTAAGTGAAAGTAGATTATTAGCTATCGGGCTGCATTTGTTATTTTAGATCGCCATGATTGTCTGTTTCAACTGTTAGCCGTACTTCAGCGGTTCCTTAGCTAAAGAAGTCGTTGGCCAAAGCTCGGGCTGGGTTACAGTTAGGGATTCTGTTGTACCTAAGCTAATGGTTTAATAGGGTGCTGTTAACAGATGACAAGGATGTATTCTGAAGAAGAAAATTACGCAGAACTTTATTTAACCGTCTTTTTTGCTCTATGTTTATTTGGGCGTACAGTTTTAAAAACCTATTGACTTCAGTATCAAAGGATAGCCTTCATGAGGAACATTGACAAAGCTTTCAAATATGCAGAAGAGAATCAATTGTTTCCCATCAGGAACCGCGTTGTTCATTCTCATTATACGACAAAAACCCATGATCCCAAAGTAGTACGATGGACGTAAATTTGTCTTAACGTATTTCCTTCAGCTTGTCTTCTCGAGACACTGAAGAGAGAATGAAGTTTGTCAAATTATACCTAAGTTTTATTCGAAAACTATAGCTCAAAATCAATTTCACAACTCTCACATTAATAGGAGTGAAATAAGAAGGATATCAACCTTGTCAGTTTTAATAAAAATGTCAACTACTCGCAAAAATCAATAAGCTAAAAGAGAGTGTTTAATATAAAGGGTTATATTCCTTCGCAAAATATCGTTTTACCTCCAGAACAGCCAACCTCAATAATCACAGAATGTAGAAAGTAGGTTTATACGTATTATTCCGATTAACTAAAAATTATAACTTTACCACGTAATGCCTACGAATACCGAATACTACCTTCTGTTTTCGAATAATATCATTGTTATTATTATTGCAAACAGTCTTAATTATGTAATTATATAACACTAACATAAGTCATGATCTTGCAAAAAAGGTTAGTTAATGTGGGGCGCCTGAATTAATCTGATTAAGACTTTTGTCTCTCGTTACCCCAATATACGTAGGCGGACCACAAATGAAGACTTGTCTGTGGCAAAAAGGAACGGCTTTTTATTATATACTTATAATGTGTTTCACGCTCTATTTTTAAATTGCTAGGTATTTGTTCAGAACTATAAGAACAACAGTCATAAACCATAGACTAAAATACTCCAACGCAGGCTGCGTTTTGCTTACGCTAACTATAATCACAGCCGTTGCTACAACGAGCTATCTTGGAGTCTGTCAACTGTCAGAAAAATTGTTACATGTAATACTCACAAGTTCTGTATGAAAACATAATGTATTGGGTCGGCGGATTTAAATCAAATGGAGATCACGATCCGATGTTAAGCGGCCTGTTTTACGACAGTATTAGCGATCATATTTTCTGATCAGACCTTCTGAACTTCTGGACCGCCAATTTCGAACACTGATATTTTCTAGAGCAACATATCTTTTAACTCTTACAATTTTTCTTATACCGCTACGAAATAATGTGCTTACGGCAGAATCCTACCACTCCAGACACTACAATTCTCTATGGATAGCTCACACAATAATACAAAAGTAGCATAACTAGTACCAGATTAAATGCTTTAATCTGGACTAATTTTTTCTTCTAGGTATTTTCTTTTCTAAGAGGTACGTCGTATTTAAACGAATGTTTCTCGAGAATTAGATATGTGCAGCCGTTTAGACCCCATTAGGTATGCAATGGTCCGTTAACCTGTTTTTACTAGAAACACCCGTTACGCACAAAAAACATCTGCCAGATTGGCATGCGTGCTCCTATTAATTGTACAGTCATTTGTGATGAACAGTATCGATAGGGAGAATTTCTAATATTTGGCCAAACGGACCAAATTCAAACGGACACAACTATTTTCAACGCGTCAATTAATATGTTATTCACGATTAAAAACAGCAACTCTTCAAAAACAGAAGCGAAAGGCTGATCTGTGTAGAGACGTAATAATTTAGTATTTTTTTTTTTTTTTTTATAGTATTATTTTAGCTCATTTGAGTAGATTTTGTTAAGGCCACCCAAAAGAAGCATGTGACCGTTTCACACTAGTTCAACAAACTTCGCGAAGAGAACAACTTCTATATTAACCGCCCAGTAATTGCTATGAACCGGCAGCAGGGACAAAATTACGCTTCGAGTGCGGAACTATTTTTAAAGCTATAGACCTTATCAATGGAGCCCTTAATCGATCGGAAGTCCCTATGGTTTCAGGACCATATGTGTACATAACGAAACTACAAAACAATGCAAAAACAAATTAATTGTCTGCAAAACTTTACGTCATTAGGAAAAATCTCGCTTAAGCACACATAGATCTGAATGTACTCGATATACAGAGTGTGATTTATGGAGATACGCGACTGTGATTTTATCGACCATCAGATTCTAAACAGGCATTAATGTACGACGGTAACAAGTTAATATGCAATGGTAGATCATTTCCATCGAATGTTAGCTCTTATTTTGAACCGTATCAAGTTCTGTGGTTAAGATCATACTTACTTTAATCTTCGTATTATCAATATTGACTAGATCGATATTATCTCAATATTAAACTAGGGAGACTTTCAAGACTAAACTAGAAATTTCATGGCTGGACCGCAAGTTTCGTCAGTGACTTCTCGTATAATTCGTATTCTAGAACGCCCATTATACCCAGACAGTATCCTATATGTAAGACGCTGTTTTTGCTTTGAAAATAGCAGACGGTCAAGTTTCTTGTAAATAATTTTTTTGGCTTCTAATTGCCAATGGTGACGATTTGTTATCTAATAGCTGCGTTATCGCGTAACCGTCGTTCGACCATGACGGCTACACAATAGTTGACTTTCATATCTAATCATAATCGTATAAAATGTATCCTGAGCAAACGTCCTGGCACATTTTTATTGAAAACTCTCGTAGACATTTGCCCCGATTTACACATACAATATAGATAGCCACGTTGCTGGTACGTTCCGATTTAAAGTGATGACCTATCGACAATATTGTTTTGGACACAGATATACTAAGAGCAGAAACCCTATCGAGTTCGAAAATACTCGGTGAAAATACGTATTAAATGAATCGCAGTAAGTGGAAAAAGAAAATAGCTATACGTACTAACGATTAGAAGTGGGACCTGAACAACTCTATACGCCCGAAATTTCCCGCCTCGCTTTTCAAGCGCGTTCTTAAATAGCCGGGTACACTGGATCGGTCCGATACACAATATGCCAAAATCCCCAAAAAAAAAAAAATAGATGTGTAATATTTGACTAGGCATACTTTTGCTCAAGACATATTAACGCTGAAGTCCTCTTATTTTGGCATTTACGTTCTTTCATTAAAACAACTATGTTACTCGTTCTGTTATGAGAATGGAAGTATACGTACACCCGTAGCGCAATTACAGGTTCTCAACGCTGCTTTAAATAAACTTATATCAATTTATTGTCAGCCCCTCCTTAGTAAACTGTCAGCTAGAGTGATGGTATGTGTGAGACAATTTTTTCAAGTTAAAACCGCACCGTAAAATTTACATTACGTGGTAATGTAATGCAGCGTAAGGGAGCACTCGGTTTTAAGGGAATTATAATTCGATCAAGTATTAACGTATTGATGATCGATAAATCCTTTTCATTTTGTGATGATTTGGACGTACGCTGATTTCTTTTAAAAATGAGTAATATCAATAGATATTCGGTTTGGAATAGATTTCATCAAGTCCCAGAGATACAGCAGCCAACTTTGGGACGACGACGACGACGATTTAGCTGTCGCTTCGATTACTTGATCAATCCATGGACGGTAAAAAGAGGTCTGCATATAGATCCCGGGTACGCCGGGTTCCGCACAGCGAAGGCCATGTGATACCGTACCGGCTAGAACCCATCGGCCACTGGCTGAATGAACAGCTAACGGACCCCCCGAATCACCTTCGCACGAGTCAAACTCGCCTTCGTTGTATCCAGCGCAAAGAAAGGACTCGGGCACCTGTTTGACATGTAGAAAAGATAGGCTCAGTAGCTTCTTTTTGCATTGCTCGTGAGCTATGATAGGCAAATTGACACTCTGCAGCTTTTTCGGCAGTTCTCCATTAAAGTAGAGTCGACCCCAGCCGCTTACCACACCGGCCATACCAGCGAAGCTATCTGTCGATTTGGGAAGGCATATGGGCATAATTCTGTCGCTGAAGTCGGCGGGAGTGTCCAGTTGGAGTAACGCGATGTCGTTGTGAAGAACCGATTCGTTAAACTTCTTGTGTATAGTCATCCTACGCACTGGTATGACAGGCAAATTTTCTTCATCTAACGAATATTGCCCTAAGACAACTACAAGCCGGGAAAGAATGGAATTTGGTTGGCAATGTGCGGCCGTCAATACGAAACTTCTCGAAATCAGCGCGCCCCCACATTTATAGTCTGTGATGACACCGAACAGTTTGCTCTCTTTCACCATGACATGCCAGGGCCATTCACCCTTTAGAGATGATGAACCTCCTACGATCCGCTTCACCAGACGCTTTCCGATCTGTGATTTGCTGTCATCTTGCATATATGGTCTGAGACCACAATCATCTTCTAAGTTCAATTTGACAGTTTGTTGAACTGGTGTACTTATTAGGTTTAGGGGTACAGAAACTGCCCCGAGGACATACACAAACAAGAGGAGCCAGGTGTTTGACCTTGCGAAGTAGACAGACATTCTGTTAAGCACTAATCATAGATTACTCAAGTTTCAAAACATCGGTACATTCAAAACATGTCGGTAACGTTCTTCTCAGACTTGAACCGAACGCAGGCTGGACACTTGGTCAGAAGCCACTATCCTGAAAGCTCAAGGAAGCACCATTAAATTGCACACAATTACGAAATACTTGCGAAGCCTGCGCTGCGTAATGGCTAACAATTTACTGTAGAATATGGCAACACTCGGGAGCAATAAGTTTAACAAAGACATTAGGCTGAAAGGTCTCTTAAATGTACCGATAACAAATGTAGGGCTCGAGCTGCAGCCAAAGATTCGGCCTAATAAGAAATACAGCGGCCTGTGGGTCGGGGATTACTTCGGGTTTGGTATAGAGCACTTGGCGGGATTCAGAAGTGGAGAGGAGAGCTTTACTTTAATAAGTAGCCATCAAGTTCTCATTCAGCTTGCCCGTCCCTTGCATAGAAACCAATTTAGAGATCAGCTCAAAACACAAACTAAAAAAGTGTTCATCGAAAACTCTGCGTTTAATAATTAGCTGGAAAATTTCGGCAACGGCACCCAGCGTGTTAAATTAGACCGCTGGTTCTTTTTTACGCCTTTCTACTACTAATCAAACAAAAGGTGTACATGTATATCTGTTATTGTCTGCGTTGCGACGTTCACATATCAGCGTCAAGTCGACCATTGATCATTGTTAAACATCTCATAGTGCTTTATTACTGGCTTTTTTTTTCCACTCTAAGATGCTTTTTTACAACGTAATGCTATTTATAATATAATGTATAATGCAAATTGCTATTTATCTAAAGCGCACCTTATAAAGACGTTGCATTGAAAAGTTAACTCTACAGAATGTTAAATATATTGCTTAGTCTCCCTGGAATTATTGTGTTAGTCGGGTTCGTTCTAATTTTTTCATTGAATTCCCAATTGAAAATTTTTCCAATGATTTGCTTGCGTGTTTACCATTTGAACTCTGCTAAACACTTTCAGTTTCACGGCACGCTACTGCAGATCTTTCCAACTAAAAGTTCCTTTCCAAACGCCTGGGCACTTAACAAAACATTGAATCTAAAAAAAAGCTTACTATCAGGCGGTTTATGACAATCTGACAAGTTGCTGAAATCCGGTAAAAGGGACATTTAGTTTTTTTTTCTTTTATAACTTTCATGCACTCCTAAAAAATCAAGTCCATCCTGGCATTTTTTTTTTCTTACAAATTATGTCCACGGATAGTTTCTGTATCAGCTATTGCCAAAAATGATATTAGTTAGAGAGAACAGATTGTAAATATAAATAAATTACTAATGTGCAGTATATATCCAATAGTCAATCTGGTATACTACAATTCTGTGACAGCAGCTGTTCGTGCCAATGGGTCTTAACAGTTACGCTAACTCGTGCCAGGAGCATGTAACAAAATATGTCTGCTATCCACTTCAAGACCTATACATATATTTTGCCTATCTATTATTACCTTGTTCATTTTAGGATCATATTTTGTTTAGGACAAAAGTAGACATCTGCTTTTGTCTAGTAAACGTCTCTTAATACGTTTCATTAATCAGCTTGATTCTACTGCAAAAAGCGGCTCAGTCATTTTAGCCATATAAAATGGACGTTCATTTGGGCTTCGTTGTAATTAGTAAAAATATATAATTACTGAAAATTATTATTTAACGATCATTATGCTGACATACGGAACCGTTGTGATTTTTCCAGGCTGGTGCGGGGCGCCAGTCTAACGATGCCGAAAGATCGCTCAGCTATATTATGAAAGACGCTACCTGTGCTTTCCGGCAAGTTCATATGAAAAAAGTAGACGGTATAAGTTGAACTCTGATTCCCAACTGGGGAGCTAAAAGTTAGGTTAGCTTTAGAAGTACCGTGTGCGACCGGAGGTTATTCAATGCAACGCGCAAACTATCATCTCGAACGCTTAACACGTGCATTGCATGCATGAAAGAAAGCGGGATGTATCGCCACGACCAGCCAGAGCGACTCATTCATAGCTAACGATAAGGAGAACGCGTATCTGCACACATTGCGCCGTACACAGACTGGAAAAGATGCGTATGACGGATCCAGAACGATTTTTATCATTCGAAGAAATGCAAAATGGCAAATAACAAACTAAACGTTTGTAGACGTAAAACATTTTTCAGGTCTCTGAGTATACAGCCGGCGATTTTACCTGCCTAGGTAAATGTACGTTATCTCTATTGGTATTAATCATTCCACCTGGAAGATGTCGACGCTTCCGATACTGAGTGTTCCTTTCCGTTATACGTGTACGAGTGTCTTCACCTCTTCCATATCTGGACAATAAAATTCTTTCCTACGGAAGACGTTTCTCAATATAGTAGAGTCTAGCAATAAGGTTTATACATTTATATCTAGCACGATAAGGCCTCCACATAAAACATTACTCGAAGCATGTGTAAATCTAATCCTGCTTTTTAAACCACCAGTTTCCAAGAGTGTTCATCGATCATACACTAAGTATTCGTGCTTATTTTTCTCTTGAACCCCTAAGGAAGCACAGCAGAATCCGGGTGCGCGGATCAGCGACGTCGATACATATAGACGCGACACTCTATGTGCCCTAGATACGTTTCTTTGGATATTTCCTTGATTATTACTTTCGAAATCGAAGGTATATGGTATTGCCGGTAGACGAAAACGAATAGTAGTGAAAGCATTAGACGAGCGACGGGTGGCAAAGAAGGAGGTAGAAAAAGGCAAACTGTGAGTTGAGCTGGAAAATTAGCCCTACGGAGAACCGCCCTTACTGTGATCAAGGAAAAAAATAGCAAGCGTGACGAAAACTAACGAGAACGAACGAGCGAGCGACGTTAATTCAAGCTATTCGTTGCCACTGAAAGTCGATAGCGAACGGACCAATGCTGCACTTATGCTATTGAGCGGGTTGAAATACAATGAGGAACCCATAGCGTCGAAGACCAAACAGGTGCTCCGGAGACGAACGGTATGATCGACCAGGTTTGGTTGGCGTCGACTGACTTCTAGATTCAAGATGAAGTACTACCCGCAGATTTGTGATTGATTGATTGATTGATCAAAAGCATCAATGATATGCGCTACGTGCATCAGTCCCTACGAATACGCAAGGAACAGCGTAAAGGTCGGTTAGTTAAGACCCTCGGCGTAGCTTCAATTCATTAGCTGGATATGGACAAACGGTTCTAATACTTAATTTTTCATCATAATGTAATAACGAACGGTTTGTCGCCAAACCGCAATTAGCTTAAGAGAATGTTTCCACGAAATGTCGTACAAAAAGAAAATGCTAAAGGTCGAATCTATCAATTTAATTACATTAATTAATGGTTCATACGGCTACAGTGACTGTAAGAAGAACATCGCAAGTTGGCGAACAGATTTATTACTGAAAACCTCAACATCATCGCGCACTCAGAAATATCTACTATAGCTATGTGAATAATTAGCTGTTGCGTGGGCCAAAACCCACCTGTCCAAAATAACCAATCACTTGTATGTACGCTACATATATATATATATATATAGATGTTTTCGTACGTATAAAAACAATCTATGCAGAGCAAGTTCGACAATATCTGCGTGCATAAGGCAGCAAGGACTTGAATAAGCAGAAAAGCACATATTTCGAATTGACAATCGTTACGCGCTAAAATTTTAAATTTGAAAATATTCGAATCGAGAAAAATTTAAAAAAGTAAATAAAAAATCGAATAAATGCATATTGCTTTCAAAGCCTACTAAGCATCTACGAAGATGTCTCTCTATAGAGACGAACGCTCTCTATAGGAATGTCATATAAACGTGTAGACCATTTTATTCTTTTTTTTTTTTGGTGTAATACAGAGTATAAATCGCGGCCCAAATAGCAAGAAAACTGGCGAAGTTTTCGGAAGTCCAAATAGACTTGGTAGACGAGGGTGAATGGCCACGCCAAATGCAGGACGGATATTTCCAGAAGCCTGGCTCGCCCTTCAGTGATTTAAGGCACCTTTGCCTTGACAGGCCAGCGACTCGATGGGCCACTTCGAGCTCAGGCAGTGCGTGGCAAAAGGCCTGTGGTCATGGTCATTATCAAAAATTTTAAGGTAAGTTCTGTAAGGTTCGCTGAATCGTTAGCAAAGAACAGTGTATGAGTTTCGAAGCATAGATCAAATCTTTTTTTACTAGCTTGCCGCGCATCTTTTGTAAGCAGTCGCTAGAATTGCAGTTTAGAAGCCAGTGCCAGGGTTTTCCAGAAAGATCGTATGGCAATGGATGGAGGCATCGGGACTTATTTTCGCGTAAAACTTCAGTAACTTTTTAAGATTTATTCAAACTATCATAAACAGCTACTTAACATAATAAGCTGCTCTAGTTCAACGCTGTTGTGCAGCAACTCGATTCAGAACTGCTGGAACTCAAAGCGACTCAATGCTCAACTGATTTCCGAGGTTTTGAATTGCTAAATGGCTTATTACACCATCGAAATTATTCCTTGTATACTTTGTGTATTGATTTACCGTCCATCTTTTAATATTTGTTAGTTTCTTTGCTTTTCTTCTGCAATCTGAGTTGTGTTTCATAGCAAACAAACGAGCTGAAATGCAGGTGTATATATAATCATCCGCTATGTTTAGCTTCAAAAGGAAGTTCCTTTGAAACCAAACTCCAGACACACCGTGGGGTTGGCAGCAGGTTCGTTTTCGTATCATATCGGCGCAGATCTGTTATTATTAAGCTTCTTTATAATCAAAATCGACGAACGAACACATTTCGATTAAAGCGCCACTGGCGAAGAGATAAAACCAGGATTATATACACCAGAACAAGAAGGACGCGGTAAAAGACGCTCTGCTAAAATTCCATAAGCTCTGTGACGTATTTGTCCGCTAATTTTAGAGGCACACTGTGGTCTGGGTTCGAACATGGGCGTAAACAGACCTTGTTTCGTACTGGGAGCCAGTCGTCCATTGTTAATAGTTAATTAAAAAGGCGTAAGAGTGCCCTTTTGATTTGACACCTACTTCGGCTACTAAAATTTACGTGCCCCGAATTGTTTACAAAGACCTTAAACATCAAGTAACTATAAAACGTAATCAACATCAAATAAAATCTCTTAGATGACAATGAGGCCGAAGGTTTTGATCCAGACGTAACCGTCAACTGCAGGGACTAGCATTTGCCTGCTTGCGATTCAGACGATACCACTATTCTGAATAAAATTATTTTTATAATTAGTTTCGTGCCTGGCAAAGTAGACCTTGTTTCCTCATGCTTCTCCCAGAAGAGTGTATCTGTTACCAAGTAAATTTATGCAAGCGGTCTAACATCTACAGTGGAACCGCGGACAGACGCGGTGGATAGATACCGTGTCAGGTGGCGATCCACACGTCGTTCAGAAGCAACAGCACAGCTATTTGAGCGAACAAACTTGAGTATTGCGGAATGGCTGAGTGTGTCCTGAAACAGGACCTATAGCTGGCTTGTTACTTGAATTTATTTAGTATCATTTAAAAATATGGACAGAAATGTGTGAGTACGGTTTTGTGAACTCGCTAATACTGAAACTGAAAAACTTTCGAAGCGAGTGGCCATTGCTCTCTCAGTAAATACGTCCGTCACAAATATCGCTGTCGGCATATACAAAAAAGACCATCCGAACGTCTGTTTTTGTAGCGACTCAATACAAAAACAAGCGATATAAACTTCCTACGAATTTATACGGTATGCTTTGGTTAGTGCCACTTGGTTGTTATAAGCAGAGCAGCAGGGCTCAGGCATTATTTTCGCCTGCCAATAGTAAGCAAATCACCAGTCGATAGGTTGTATGTACGGTCAAAGCATGCCGTCCTGTGCATTTGGTCCGAAGCGGAAAAGGCCTCAAGTCAATTAGAAATTGTCAACCAATCGCGTTTTTTTTTGTTGTTGAAAATTTGCAAATAGGTATTTATTTTTCATTCTCGCTAAAAAGCAATGTTTTTTGTTGTCGTATACGACGACGCTGGTTACGTTAGAGGTAATCAGTACGATCGGTATCCACAGGTGTTAGTACCAGGGAGAAATTATCTCGTTGTTTCAGCGGCGAACAACGTCATCTTCACGATCCCCACGTAATCGTTCGCTGGCTCAATGGGGCTGTTATTAGTCTGTACGCTAGTCCATTGGTTGGAGTTGTTTGTCTGTTAACATCCAAAAATGCACCGGATCTGCTTACGATAAAATGATTTGACGTATCAATACAGACAACACACGGCACGGACATTTTTTTTGTGAAAAACAGGCTGGGTCTGCCAGTTCAAAGGTCAAAAATTTCAGCCAAAGTAAATAATAGTTGCCTATTTGAGCCATGGTCGGCAAGGTATTTTCACGCAGTGGGCTTATTCATTAAGTCTATAGCAAAAACAATCTATTATGAAGAGAGAATACACCAAGCTGAGTGAACTATTCCTGGCAATGCGTCTGTCTGCAGCTTCACAACTGTTTTTAAGGAATATCTAAAGTGAGTCCTCAAACTCTATTTCGGGCAAACAAATCAAAAAGCCTATATCGCGAAATACGTTATAGCAATTCTAGATCTTAAGTATGTCTCGAACAGACGATGGGCATTTCGATATCAATTTTTTGATAATATTATATGTAATTAATATAAAATCACGGCCGGCGTGCGTATATGTACCTGTTTAGGTTTTCAACCCCCGGCCCGGAGACTACAGGGAGGCATTTAGCGAACGGAAACCCTAAGTGAGACCTTTTTATACGGCGGCATGGCGGTATTTGTGTGCTTACGAATCAGTGGCGCTATCGCGCGTATCATAACCGATTCCCATACTAAATCTCATGTTTTAAGTGTTGTATTTTATCTGCTAGTACATAGGTATATTCCTCTGTATATACATATAGATATAAACTTTCTCTCTCTCTTATCTCTGTCGTCCCGATAAAAATACTAGGCTTTCTTTGGCATTTAGCTCAGTATTTTTTATGGTCGCTTTCCTCCATTATGCGGAGTGAATATAACTTACCTCCTCTCCTTATACACGGCGTTCTTAAGAGTGTTCTAGTGGGTGCTCTTATAGGCAGCCGTGAATAAACGCCAACTCTGCCATACAATAGTCAGCGTACGAGGAGAGCACTTGCGCAAACAAAATATTTACTATCTCCAACGGATTTTCGAGTAAGCGGAGGTAATATTGTGCTTAGAGAGACATCTGCATCGTGCTAACGTGTTTAAGTTCAAGAGAACACAAAAGGTTGCTCGTTTCATTCTGGGCTCACATGATGCGTAGCCTTCTGCCTATAATGCTCTTACCTTTATTGGTAATGGGTCCGTCCGAGCAGATTGGCGTATCGGATCTATTACCTTCGAAAATTATGAAAAATTCTATTAAACGTATCACGAACAACGATGACATGTGAGTATTGCCTTTTACATCTCTATAAATAACGCAATGTAATTGAATGAGAAATTGAACTTGTGCGTGTATAAACCGAAAGGGATTAAGAACGATAGTCGTGTGTGTGATCGTAACGTTGTCCTATATTCATTTTGTTCTTCTTTCGAATTTATCTGATGCGTTTTATTTTTTGACGATAGACCAACGCCGATCATTAGAATTGTTCATAGGCTCAAGGCTTCGGGTCGTGTCGACTGTTGCCGGGTGTTTTACTTTTTTTAGGTTAAATGGACCTTTGATTCGTTAGCCATATGGCGTGATGCAATCTTCTAAGTAAACAAGCACTAGCTAAACGAAATCTATGCTTTGGTATAGATTAGTTGTAGGTTTCTGTTTTTCATTGTTTTAAATGAAAAGTAGGATACATGAGAAGATAAAAAAACAAACAGGAAGGAGCTAATGTTGCATAGGTTATTTTAAATCAAGTAGCCTAGGTTTACTAGGTTTGATCTATTGGGTTGAGGAAGAAAGGCGTACAGTTCAGTTAAACCAGCTGACTCTAGGAAAAGTCGCAAAGTACTAGTATTGCTTCTAACTGCTCCTAAGGATTTCGTGCCGAGGGGCATGTAGATTAGGGTTTGCCCAATCTACTAGAGCACGGTCATTAACCTGTCCTGCAAGTAGAAGTTGTTCTCGTCAAATTGGCCCGGGGTGTATCGATTGTTGCCCACGGGTCGACGATTGAGAGTTCAATTTATATCAATGCTGACCTTCAAAGAAGGCGCAGCTACCTCCGTTTTTCTCGGGCAAACATTTCCTTATATCCCTCATGTACAAAAGACGAACAGCTGAACAATCGATCAACACTTTTTAATTATCCAAGATTTTGATGCTCGAATAAAATTAGCTTACGCAAATATTATACATGCACGCTACGTTTTTTTAACTTTTCAAGCATTTTCGAAATTTGAATTGAAGTCACGGCGAGCGGCGTGTTCGGTTTTTAAGCATTGAAGTCTTTTATCTATCTTTCAAATTGTCTCGAAATTAGGTCCTGTGACTAGACGGGTTGGCATAAAGAAATCCGTGGAACTTTTTGATTACGTTCCACTCACACTGAATACTGAATACTGACGTATTCTGTGATAGAGGAGTAACTAGATGTTTTTCCATTTCGTTCAGCTAGTTCGTTACAGATTGTAAAAATTATATCACTGGCAATTTCGATTTTGTTCATCATTTCGTCCACATCTAGGCCAGTTAAAATCATTCGATTAAGTCTCCCTGGCCGTCCTGGAAGTAGATTGGTACTTACGCCCTGTAGTTATTTCAGTTGTATTTGATACAAGTTCATTGCTATAATGTTTAAAGTTGATATACACATTCCGAGGCAGCGACGTTTTCATCAAAACAAAACTGACACACTTATCTCATGCAAGATTGTTTAAAAGACAAATGTTTGAAGTTCTTTGATTCTCCTTTAAAACAGAGTCTATTGCATAGTAGCTTTGAGCGATTATAGTATCACTAATGACGCTGCCCGTCGTAGTGGCTGGTAGCATGCAACCGAACTCTGATAACGCATGGCTATATGGGAAGCTGTTAGCGCGGCTTCCTCTAGCACTAGCATAGAAGCAAAAAGGTAAACCGACCGCAGGACTAAATAGATTAACAGCTGTATATGCCAGATTATTTATTTAAATATCTGCATATATATAAT